TATATTCTAATACTGTGTGAAATACAAAGCTAAATAAGTTGTGTTCCGAATCTGAGGTAGATATCGCAAAACATTCAGATTTTGTTTGCCCACAATAGCAAATGTTTCCACCAGATGAATTTGTTCTGTTTATGAAATCTGTTTCCAATACAGTCACAATTCCAATACGTCGGTGACCACAAACAGTAAAAGTGTGAGTATTTTTTTGCAACAGCATAACTTTTTCTAATGATGTCCATGATTTTTTTTTTTTACATAGCAAGTGCCAAAACCTTTACCAAGTTTAGTAAAACAAATAAATTAACCCACTAAAATCAATAACGTCCAATATATTCATTCAGTTGTATATTTGCCAAGATTTAACACTTGTAAACACTAAGTTGCAAAGTAAGCGAAAACCCTGCGTTTTGAGCATAACATTCACGCTTTCTTGAGAACAGCGCTGAGAGTGATTTGTTTGTTATATTCTGAGTGCTGCGTCTCTCGTCACTCTTTTCGAGCGAGCAATAGGGAGCGCGTGAGAGCCGCACACTGACGTTCACGAGCATCGAGAGAGAGAGAGAGAGAGAGAGAGAGAGAGAGAGAGAGGGGAACCCAAAGCATCATTACTCCATCAACACCTCGCAGAGACAGTGGAGAGCCGTGAGCACCTGTGTGCCCAAAGTATCATTACTCCATCAACACCTCGCAGAGACAGTGGAGAGCCGTGAGCACCTGTGTGCGCCAGAGTTGCAGCATGTTTCCCGCTCCGCATCATCTTCGCCTGGCTTTCGCTTAATGCGCTAAACATTTCTGGAGGACATTTCTTTTCCAGCTCATGTGACCTCAGCTGTCTTTGGAATGATGGGGACCTTACATGAAAGTATTGGATTTGTGCTCTTTTCCTTTTTGACCATTCAAGTTGGATTTTCTCTTGATGGTAAGAAAATTTACGGCTGACAATACATTTACAGACTTTTCAATGCATTATATCAGACCGCAATATAGTACACCGTTATTAACTCCGAATATGCTCTCAGTGGCTATTTTACAGTTAAAAACTACTGCCGCATGCATTTCTGTAGCACTCTTTAAATAATAAGTGTCAAAAGTTATAAATACGCCAGCCTGTTGTCCGTGACGAGAGGAGCAATAGAAAAAATCAACTGTTGATTTCGTGAAAACTCGTTAAACGTCTGCGTATCGTCTCGTATCTGTCCTTCCTCTCCACATGAACTCATGCCATGTGTCTTTGTCAGCATTATAGGTAGTAAAGGGTAATTTTGAAGGAACAGCACGCGCGACTTGCATCTCAAGTGGCGGATGCTCGGATTTGGGCTTCGTTAAAAACGGACTGCGGTTGTTTTTCAGCACCACGGACAGCGCTCATTAAAGCTCTTATAAACGCAGCGGACCAAAGTCCTTCATTTCATTCCATTTCACAAAAGACAAGCACTGCCGCACCAACACGTCGATTCCAGTCTGAAGTATTAATTGCATTTCACCCAACCTGAACATTTGACTCGTTGCAAAAATAAAAAGGGGAAAAAAGATTATATATTGGTAGAAGATAGATAGAGAGATAAAAACATATATAAAACAAAGGAACGTTTTAATGCACATTTTATTTGGCTGATTTATTATTATTATTATTATTATTATTATTATTATACATATTTTATTTATTTTTATAAAAAAAAAAATTTCACATATGTATGAAAAACAGACGAGAACCATTTAAATACATTTTATTATTACTACTACTAATACTATTATTATTGGTGATGTTTAATGAAAAACAGAAGGGAAATGTATTTGAATTAATAATTTTTTTACTATAATAATTGTATTATTATTATTATTATTTTATTATTATTATTATTATTATTATTATTATTGGAATGATTAAACTATTATATAAAAATAAAATTTTTAAATATAAGCACTGGTATGTTAACTTGTTACGTCTCTCTTTCAGGAAAGTTTACCGATTTCCCTACTAACATCACTGCAAGGGAAGGGCAGAACATTGAAATGGCATGTGCCTTTCAAAGTGGGATGTCCTCGGTTTACTTAGAGATCCAGTGGTGGTTTACTCGAGCTCCGGAGGAACTGATTACGAGCGAGGAGGATGAGGACGATACTGAGGTAATAACATTTTATGCACAGGTTGAGGAAGGGTTAATTCTTCATAATGTCATTCCGTAACTACCCAGCCTACAGGAGAAGCCTCCTAAGCAGCATTGGCACGTTGCATGAATTTCCCATTTTTTGACGAACCTAATGGATAAGCATCCCTTTTATCCACCCACTCTTTGCACTTTTAATTGACTGGATGAACGGTTTTGCTCACCGTCGCTGAACTGCTTCTCACTTGTTGTCTTTGCATTGCCACTATTTCCCTTCTGCTGCAAAGCCACCTCAGCAATTAGTTTCACTCATGTGTCCTTCTGAAAGGCAGAGCTTGCAAAATATCCCTGTATTCCCACTCATGTCACATAATTAGACCCCCTAACCCTCCACATCAAAACACACACTTACACAGCGCACAATACATGTCAGACGAATCGGCTGTTTTGCTCAAGGATGTTGTCTTGCCTGATTCATGCATCGTGATTCATACCGAATGGACTCCTAAGGCTTTGAGATCCGCAACAAAAATCGCTGTGACGCGCTCGTTTGGTCTTTTGAAGGGCAAAACGCAGAAGCAAGGCCTGACATCAAGGGTGCAATGTGTGTGTTAGAGACAACACTGGCTGAATGTCAACAAGTGTGTGTGTGTGTGTGTGTCTTTGTTTGGAGATGTGAATCAGTGTTTAATGACAAAACATCAACAAATGAGTCAGTATATTGTTTTTCATGTACATGCCAGGTTGAGAGATGTCTTTAGAAAGTGAAAAGCTGTTGTTAGTAGGGTTACAGTGTAGTCTGTGATCTATTCTCTCTTTGCAATTGGCAGTTTGTCATCACTAACATCAAATAAGTTATTTTTTGTTTGATAAATGCATGGGAAGAAGAACATCCCTTTTTGTTCCTGCTCAGATTTAATACTGCCATTACGAAGCTATTGTTGTCTCTCATCATGCACATACTGCCAAGGCTTTGATCCATGGGATCTATCAATTTGGAACGGGAGAAGCTGTAACGCTGAAAGTGGCGTCGCTGATTAAATCTCATTCTTCTCTGAGCATTGTGCATCAAATGACATGCAGCTGGGTCTCCGGTGAGGCGAAATCTGACAAAAATGAGGATCGAAGAGACATCCTACAAAAATACATCCAGGAATAATAAGATGGGTGACATCCGCCAATGGCATCTGATGTACAATATCGAAGCGTTCACCTCTGAAGAGCAGCCATTAGGAGTGATAGTGCAGCACAGTGAAGGACTGCAGCGGTGCTGTCGCTGTGTCACTGTATCATCTATAATGGATATGATCCTGAATCTGCAGCCATCGATACTGCTATTGCTGACAGCGAACTGCAGAGAGCTTCCCGGTGCTATGAATAGCTGTGAATGAGGGATAGTACAGATTCTGCTCTGTAATGATACATAAGGACTCACCTCTGGTTAGGCCAAAGCACTTTGCTGTAATCTGCAACCGATTGCATCCTGGTTGTCGAAAGTCTCTCCACATGCTCGCTCGAATTGGATAAATCGGTGCCGTCGGTAGGGGATGCACATTTCTGATGTCCCGTAGCAAGACAAGAGGTCATTTATCAAAAGAGCTATGGCCCACATAAATGCAAATGATAATGCAATTTCGAATGCAAATATCTACTTTATTTGCATAGTTATGAGAGCCTTATGGGCTGAAGTTCATTCGCTGATGCTCTCCAGTGAATTAGCTGGATTTATTCCAGCCCGCCGTGTTCTTTTGTGAACTTTGCTGCGACTTGCTCCCATTTGTCAGGGAAGTTTATTAATCCAAATATTATTCAGAAAGAGATCAAGGCTTGGGTAGAGACTGACATTTTTAGCTGAACGCTGCATACCTTGGCGCTGCTGACGGATGAATGCGAATGCAGAGAAAATTAGAGACTGTCAAATGTGTATCATCTAACAACATATTCTTATCATCACTGTGCTTTTGTGCTACGATGACTAGTCATGGCAATACCTCGAATCATGCAATTACGGGTTATTAAATAGAAAAGGCCTACAAGTCTAAAACAATTGAAATGTCAAGACTGGCTGAGTGACAGAGTTTATGTGTTTATTTTGACCTCGGTTATTAACCTTTACATTTTTCGAATGAAATTATGGTAATAAGATGGATCAGAATTGTGCAAAATAATTAATTTCAGATGTGTGTAAACAAAAGAATCTCTGCTAAATTTAACTGAACTAAAGGCTTAATAGCATGTGTTGCCTTACCTTTCTTGATCTTTCTTTGACTTGTTTTTTTAAGGGATATATTACCATTGGCATCTGAGACAAGAAAATAGCAGTTCTTCCAGCTGTAAGAGACTAGATCCATCAGTGTAATCATAATATGCACATAGGTTGGCTGCGAGACAGGATCAAGCACAGCAGCAGCTGAACATTAAAGGAACATGCTTCTTCTTCATGAGTCACAGGCCAGAATTATACAGCAGAAGTTAACATTATATATCATATGCATGCAGATCCTGAAGGGTTATCTCAGATTTTACACACTTGCCAAATGTAGTCTAGATATAAAACAGTTCAAAGAGAATATGGGAAGTATTATTGCATATTAATGTTCAGTAAAGTTATGCCACTTTCATACACTATACCATTCAAAAGTTCACCATTCAGTAAGTTTTTTTTTTATTTTTTTTTTTAAGAAATAAATACTTTTATTGATCAAGGATGAATTAAATTGATCAAAAGTGCAAGTAAAGTCATTTATAATGTTACAAAAAAATACATATTTCAAATAAATGCAGTTCTTTTGAACTTTCTGTTAATCTGTGAATCCTGAAAAATAAAATGCATCACAGTTTCCACAAAAAATATTGTGCAGCACGACTGTTTTCAACATTGATAATAATCAGAAATGTTTCTTGAGCAGCAAATCAGCATATTAGAATGATTTCTGAAGATCATGTGACACTGAAGACTGGAGTAATGATGCTGAAAATACAGCTGCGCATCACATACATAAATTACAGTTTAACAGATATTCACATAGAAAACAGTTAATTGAAATTGTAATAATATTTCACAATATTCTTGTTTTTTTTCCTGTATTTTTGATCAAATAAATTTAGCCTCAGTGAAAATAAGAGACCATTTTAAATGCTAGTGTATGCATAGAACATAAAAACACAAATTTATAATTTATAACTGTTGAAAAAGTTGCAATTATGCAGATTTTTTTTTTGTTGCATATATACGTATCTACTTATTGCAGTTCCCTTATGTTTCTTGTAATGAATGAGTGCAAGACCTGTTGCCTTTGGCATTGAATCTGTTTTCACTTAGAAATCACTAGCACATTTCACAATTCAGTTGTTTTGCATTGAATTAAACATGGTATTTGGAAGTAGAAAGACTGAAACAATATTTTCTTTTAAAACATACTCAAATAATCTTTGTTTTGCTTTGAACAATTGAAAATTTACTTGAAAAAGTATTGATCATCCCAATCCACTCATTCATAAGGTTAGGGTGCTGTCATTGAAGGCAGCACACTAGGGTTTGGAACACGTTCTAGTGTCCATATTGATCCGAGTTGACTAGAAATTCATTGGACAGACATTAGCCAGTTTCTCCTTAAATCCTGACCAGCGCTGCTGCTCGTGGTAAGCATTTTCAGTCATGTAAAGCTTAATTGACAGCTACCGCTGATACCACCACTGTACAAGGAAAAGACGTATTAAGATTTCACACAAACGTCTGCTTTTCCCCGATGGAAATGAGCGGCCGATCTCGACAGCACACTCCCTCCCAGTACAAACTAATGCAAAATCTATACCATCCGCGCTGCCTCTCTTTTTAGCCCAATTACCACCCAGCTCTCTATCTAAGTCCCTCCGCCAGACTTTTAAAGACAATAAGCTCTGAAGGTCAATGAAAGCCGATAGATGCATCCATCAGCTCGGCCTATTGTTAGGCCAGACACATTCATAATCAATGTAATGCTGCTCTGATTAAGCTCTCCATCTGTGGATGCTACCGAGTCTGAACCAACCGTGTACTTTTTCCCTGATTTCTGACCTGTAGCCTCGAGCAGAGTCGAGACCGGATAGTGCATAAAGAAACTACAAATGCTCAGAAAACAGAGCCTTACTTCAGTCAGACTTCTTCTCTAGCGTAACATTTACACTCTGAGCTTAATACTGAGCTTCAATAATGACATTGACATTGGCTTAATTGGAAGAGCTGCATGCCAGTTATTAGACGGAGTTAATTTACAGCACGAACTGGGACTGCTAACACACGGTGGACTTTAATGAAAAGCTTATTATGATTGTGACTCTTACAACTGAGGAACGCAATTAATGCTTGTAAAATTGCATTGAAATCTCAGAAGTCATAAATGTGTTGACAGGTCTCAAACTTTAATATGAAAATGTCATTGTGAGTCTGCTGCGATCAGCTGCATCGGTTTAGCGCTCATAAGTAATCTCACTAACATAATGTACAGACTGCAGTGCATGCCAGCAGGGAGTTTAAGGCAGTAGTATGTATGTATGGTTTCAACCACAATTATTCATTAGCAGTACTTGCTTAGAGTTTCTCAGTCCCGTTGGGCTTTAGCACTGGAATGGATGTCATGATTGCTGAAAATGGCTGCTAATAGAGTCTGAGTTGAGACGGGGGTGTTTCCAGCTTTATACTGTAGTGTCGCATTTAAATTTAAATGGATTTTCACGCCTCTTACAGAGAGTATGATCATCGGTATAACTGCTCAGATTCAACAGCCACCAACTTACGGGATATGACTGTACGCCAATCATTGCACTTAAGAAAGAAAATGATGCAGTAACATATATTTTTAGAAATAAAAATATTTGCACTACCGGTCAAAAAGTTGGGGACAGTAAGGATGAAATAAATGGTGTTCTTTCTGTTCATCCTGAGAAGAAAAAAAATGTATCACGGGTTTCAACACTGACGATAATCAGAAATGTTTCTGATTCTGATGTTTCTACCATTCAGAGTTTGGGGTCAGTAAG